TTGTTCAGCCAAATTGAAGCCCATGGACTTCAAAGGCTGCAGGGTGGATGCTGAGGACCAACAGAAGCAGGCAGGCTGGTCATAGGAACACACCTGCATGCTTTCTGCAGCTCCAGAAAGAACAAGAAAAGAAAGAAGCGGCACAGAACGCACTGAGGAGTGCCCTTGAAACACATTTTACCATGGCTGGAGTTGAGCAGAGCCTTTGAAATGCATTTCGTCTTGGCTGGAGTTGAGCTGTTGCCCAGGTGACTGTGAGTTCACTTCCAGTAGCAAAAAGATGCTTTCTGCTGCCATCATTCTTCTGGCAAAGCAAGGCAAATAGGCTGAGGTCTGTTTACACCGGTGTAATGATAACCAGACTGGTGATTATGTGTACATGACTGCAGAGCAAAAAAATTCATGCCCTTTAACTGACACAGGTGTCACAGCTCCAGGTTAAACATGGGTGCATTTTAAAGGTTTGGCTTTGGAGATGTGGGATATGTGACGGCCAACGTGGAGATGCTGCTCGTAATTAGAGCTTTGCAAATGATGGCGTTTTTGCTCTGCTTGAGGACTTGTTCCATTTGGGTTGACCCAAAGAGCAATTTTGGAGAGAACAAAATGGAAAGCAAATGGTGCCACGTGGTGCTTTTCTTTTGAAAATGAAGATTTTGAGGAGTTTGGAATTCGGAATTTCTCTTTCAAAATCAATGCTTTCATGGCACGAGAGCTGAGATGGGAGGAAAACAGCTGAGGGACTTTAATATCATAAATGAAATATTTCCATTCTTTGAACTATTGTTCTGACCAAAGCACTCAACCACAATTACCATAAAAGCCCACAATTGAGCAGAATTTACAGTTACTGGTTAAAAAAAAAAAAAAGGAAAAAAATAAACAAACAATTTCAGAGCAATCTTTTTGCCTCCTTTTGGCCCAGGTCCTCTTTGAAATGGCATTTATGAAGGCTGACCTGTTTTTAACCTTCCTATAAAGGAAAAAACAGATCCACACAATCCCCCCCTCCCCAGCAGTCAACTTTCTCTGGCAGAGCTGAGTGGTATTTTAACACCTCGGTCCCTTTGACAGCACCGTCCTACGGGCTGCCATGCGCTGACAGCCCCCATTGTGTCCGTCCAGGGTAATTAAGAATTTGATCCAGAGCTTTCAAACCTCTCGGGCTGACGGATACTCTCTGAAGCCAGGCACTGTCACTCTTTGGGGTGCTAAAAGGTTTCTGTCCCAGGCCAAGGGGCGCCGGGACACCTGGGTCCGTTTCAGAGCTATTTAGCCATCTCTCCTTGTCAACTGGGGCTATTTGGGGAATTGGGGTCAATTATAACCAGCCCTCACCTGTCTTGCTTCTATGGAGAACTGGAGCCAGATGGCAACGCGTAGGGTTGGCCTTTCCCTTTGTGCAGTGCTCAACTCATCTCGTTCCCACCGGGAGGATGAACGTGGAGCTGCAAAGCAGCCCACAGCATTGCTGGAAGTGTGGTGGCACGGAATGGAAGAGAGTGGAACGAGTGGGAAAGGAGGTGTTCCTTCTGCTCCGAGTCCATCGTCTGCTGAGCGTCGGACACAGCAGTGATCTCAGTGGATACTGGAAGGCTGAAGCCAAGCGTCCTCAAATCCACTCTCCCCAGTCCCAAAGTTGGTGAGTTTCTGCCATCCAGGCAGGAATTTTATGGCCACTTTGAGATCAAATCTGCCGTGACTCCAGGCACGTCCAACCTGCGGCTTCTCAAAAGGTTTCTCAAACACACAAATGGGTTTAGGAGCTTGGAGATGGGACTTGAGCTCTGAAATGGCTTTTCTGCCTTCGCTAATCTCCCTGGCAGACTTCATCAATGCAGCTGTGTCTTGCCCACCAAACCTCCATGCTGTGATGTCATCTCTTTTCTCATTGTTCTGATTAATAATACCTTTCGTGTTGCACAAGAGGACGTGGTGAGACTCTTTCACTTCAGTGCCCTCCATTTATTCCTGTGGCGTTTTTGGGAGATGTTTGCCCAATATTAGAGCACTACAGGCTTTAGCCTTTGGTCAGTAGTTTCAGAAAAGCCAAAATTTCAACCACGTGTCTGATTTTCTCCTTCCCCCCCCGTGCTGTCACCGCACTCTTTGCAAATCTCCTTAACCAGAGCAATGTTTGAAACCTCGCGTCCACTTTTTCCCTGCCGCCAGAAGTGACGTGAGGTGCAGCAGCCTTTGATGAATCCTCTGGGACTCATCATGTGCTGGGGTGATTCAGCAGCAGATCACACACTCGTGGTGCCCTTCCAGAGTGATGCTCACAACAAATCAGCGAAGCAAGCGAAACCAGCCATGCAAATCAAGACGTGCTTCCAGCCGAGGACCCGACCTACTCCTCCATCATGAGCATGCAGTGCACCTTCCCCTTGCCACCCAACCCAGACCCTCCAACAGCCATTCTCTGACAGCCTCTTCTGGGGTGGAAGAGGTGAAATGAGCGCCTTCCTTCTTCCTCGTTCGATGTCCCTGATGCACAGTTTGGACCCAGAGAAACTGCCTTTAATTTTTGGTCATAAAAAGGCACGATGTTTGTCACCTGGTGGTTTTAAATGTCTCTTGCTTTGGGGGAAATGGTTCAGCCTCTCCATGTGAAGCAGCTTTTCCTTGCCTTTCCGTATACGGTCGCCCCTCTGCAGCCCTTCTGTAACTCCACATCTTGAAACACCGTGGCTGGAATGATGCATGGTACCCAAACACGAGCACACCAAGGTTCTATGGAGCAGCACAGCAGCCCCCTCTGCATTCTCCTCAGTGCCCTTCATGGAGATACTCCGTTCTGTTGGCTGCTTTCACTGTCACCACTCATTAAGACAATGACTTCATAGGATTGCAGTGGTGGCTCCAAGATCTCTTCCCTGCACTGTACTCCCTTCTGAGTTCAGCACCGTGCAGGCATGACTTACATTACCTTTTCCTCGATGTGTTATCATAATTTACACTTGTTATAAATTCTGAAGGTTTTTTGCTATCATTCCCTTTAGGAAGACTATTTATTTATTCTTTTTTTTTTTTTTTTTTTTAATTTTTTTCTATTAAACCAGGGGAAAAAAAAAAAACAAAAAAAAAAACAAAAAACCACCACCAACAACAACAAAAAAACCCACCAAGCTGTGCTCTCCTTGTAACGTTGGGTCTTGATGCGATTCAACAGAAACAGATTTGGGGGTGAAGTTTTGTTTTGGAATGTTTCCATTTTTCTTGTCATGTCCACAGTGATCAGGAATGGGGAATGGAGGCATAAAAGGGAAGGACCCGTGCTTTTTGGGCTGCTTCCCAGCCAACGATGTAATTTATGAGCACGAGGCCAGCCTTGCTCTCCTTGACAGTGTCCAGACCTCACCCCGAATCACAGGTGTAGTTAAAAAGTAATTGGATAAAACTACTCCACAGCCCCTTTGGCGAGGCGTTTTCCCTGAATGTGAATGAACTGAGGTCTGAAAGGGAAAAGGAAGCCAGAGGGGATCCACGCTGATGTATGGGGAGAGCTGGAACAGCCATCTGGGCTGGGATCGCCTCCGTCTGCCTGGGCTGTGGCACTGAGATGAATCTGAGATGTTGGCTGGGTCTGCTGTCGGAAGGAGGGTTGGGGAAGGGTGGTGAAAGCCATTTGTGATGCTTTGTGCAAGACCACGTGGAGCAGATCTCCCCACAGCAGGAGGCACAGCGTGGTCAGGAGGTCACCAGCCAAGGGCGTCTGCCAGGGAGGACGAGGACTGCGGCATTTCTCTGCAGCAGAGCAGTGCAAGGAAGGTCATTTGTCCCAGATCAGGACAGAAGGTCTTCTGTGAGACTCAGACCTCAATGCAGTTGGGCAGTCCAAGAGACACATCCCTGCTTGGGTCTCTGTAGCCTCTGTTTCATCGCATCTTGGGAACCCTGGTGAAGCCGTGTTGAGTTTGGGATGGCCTTCAGTGCGTTTTGAGGGACATGGGGCGCAGGTGGTGGGCTGGTGGTCGGACGAGGTGATTTTAGAAGACTTTTCCAACCTTAATGATTCTGTGATTGTGTGATTCAAGATTCCTTCATTCCTTGGTGTATGCAGGCAGAGCAAACACATCCAGTGTGATGAGAGGAGACCTTGGCTCGCTCTTAGCCAGCACCAGACCCCTCCTCCCATGGTGATGGTGCCTGTGCTCCTGCAGGGCCAGAGTTCAGCACCCCCACAGCCAGGACCAGATGGTTTCAACCAGGACTGAACCGGCTGCATCTAGAAAGCCCACTGATGGGCCCACGAATGCACTAATTGGCCTTAATGACTCCAGGCAGCCATGCATGGGGTCCCCACTGCTCTGCCCATCAGCCCAGAAGCTCCATTTAAGCTCAGATCTTGGGCCATCATCTAGCTGTTCTTCTTACCCAACATCTCCTTGGCAGTGAATAGCATTCAAGGAAGCCAAATGCTGCTGCAGTGGATGGAGCTGCATTGCCAGAGAGCCTGGTGCCCTTGTCTTGTATCGCTGATGGGAAAGATTGCAAAGATCTGAATGATCCCCTGCTCCAAGGATGGGGTCTGCATTTCTTCAGCTGTGCTCAGGGAAAGGAAGACCCAACTTCTGGTGATTGTGAGAAAGGTAAGGTTTGGAGGACCAAACGGATCAGAAGTGCTTTCTGTCATCCAGTTCTGACTCTGAATATCTTACAAGCTTAAATAGGTAAGAGAGATGCGTGGCAGGAAGGGGGAAATATACTCTGCTTGCATCTGTGTAAATCAAAGCGCTTCAGTGAATCTGTTGTCAGCTTTTGCACATTACTTATAGAAGAAACTGAAACAAAACACATTTTAAAACAATGTGTGGAGGACTGTGAGTGATCAAATTACTGCAGCTGTTTCTATTTTGCATTCTAATGAACTGAGCTACCATGGCACAGCTGATGATCAGTAACTCATTAAGCTGCACTAACAAGATCATGGACCAGTATTCATTCACAACCTTAAAACAGGGAGGTTGAACTTGGGATTCTTAATAAGGTCAGCAAGTTTTTACATGGGTTCACATGCCCTGAGTGTGTTTTGTGCTTGCAGCTGGGATGCACGGGGTGCTGGTGCTTGGGAGCAGAGCTCTGGTAAGGGCACGATGTTGCAGGGGTCTGCCTGGAGATGGGAGGCTCCAGGCCTTGCCAGGGCGAAGGTTCAGAGCCAGTTTTCTGATACTGATGAACGAGTAGATAAAAAGTGAGAGCAGAGGCCTGGATGGAGACCAGCAAGTGGCTGTCCAGGGCTGATGGAAACCATTCAGTGTTGTCTGTAGCTGCCCTAGAGCTGGTACCCACCGTGTTGTTCTGATGCCCTCGCGAGCTGAGCTGCCTTCCCAGCCAGGGATCATGAGCCCATGCCTGTGAGCTGCTCTGGGCTCCAGCAGCAGTGGTCCCTGCTGTCCTCTTGGCCAGACCCTGGCTTTTAACCTTGACAAGTGTCCTGAGAATAGCGACTCTCCTGCTTGGCTTCTCTTTGCAAACAGCCCCAGAAATGCTTTTGCTAAGCAAAAGTGAGGACTGATGTCATCCCAAGGCCCTGCGAGCCAGGGATCTGAGCAAAGGCCCAGGGTGCCTGTATCTTAATCCAGCTGCGGTTGTTCCTGCTTTCAAGCCCTTATTACCTGCCTAATTCCGCGCTAGGATATTGCTCAGACATCTAAGGAGATGCAAGCTGGCAATTTCAACGCGCTCCTAAACATCTCCAGCAAAACACCTGCCGGTGCCAAGCCCTCAATGGCTCCTCATTTCTCCTAAGTAAGGAGATTTCCAGGGCGAGTCTGCCCTGGCCCTGCAGGAGGCACCTTTTTGCTGCCAGGGCTCTCCGGCTGTCGCTCAGGGTGCAGGAATGCAGGCGAGGCTGCCCTGTGGTTAGGAGGGCTCCACCCCACAGACAGAGGCAGGCGCCCAGGTACCAGCAAGGAGACTTGGGGCTCATCCAGGGCTGCTGATGACAGGAGCTGATCTGTGCCTTAACTCTTTGTGTGCCTGCCGGGTGCTGCTCCCACCTCGCATCCCTGCTGCTGGTGTGGGAGCAGCTGTTGGGTGGGGGATCTGGGATGGAAAGCTGGTGGTAAGAAAGGATCCAACCTCTCTCCTGTTTTCTCGTTCTGATCAACGAGCTCCAGCTGGAGGTTTGTGTTGAGAGGAAGAGGTTTCTCTGCTGTTGTGTTCCTGGAAGATTTCATGGTGGTCACAAGCACCTTTTTCACTTGAACACTGGGGTTTGGGCTGTATGTTGGCTGTTGTTCTGCTGGTGTTGAGACAGATGGCGATCCTTAGAGTGCAGCACTTCAGCACTGAATCTCTGATTGTCATGTCAAACCTTCCTCCTTGTCAATGCCTTCCTCCTTGATGAGAGCTCTGGCCAAGGACTGTTGGATAGTCCGATCACGTGAAGGTTTCCATAGCTCAGCAGTCTCAGCTGCACTGTTCTTGTGAGGACAGCATCCCAGTGCTCCCAGGTGCTGTGACCCCGTGCTGCTCTTTCTGAGTCTCAGCTCTGCATCAGCAATTGCTTCTGACTGCCCATGCAGAGCAGGTACCAGTGCAAATCCTCAGCTGGGCCCTGGGGTCTCAGCTGATATCTGTGTCCCACCAGTTGTGTTTCACCAATTTTGAAGCTTCTGGATGGAAGAACAGACTTCATATCCCTCTCCTCTCTATGAAGCAAAAAAAGGATTGATTTTTCTGCTTGGTTCTCCCCCTGAGAGCAGGCTGAATTCCAATCTTTGGTCTGTTTTCTTATTATTCTCTTTGTATTTGCTTAAGCTATCCATCCCTGTGAGACTGGAATCATTGCAGGTGCCACTGAGGATCATTTCCTTAGGATTGGTTTGGTTGGGGCAGTCTGAGATGAAGCTGGAATTGGACTTGAAGCCCCTCAGGGTCCCCTTCAACTATATACTATGAGATGTGGCAGCAGTTCTCCTGCATCTCTCCCCTTTTGGTTGATTGCTGCCTTCCCAGCGGTGCCCCTGGGATGTTTCCCATGTGCTGAATTGCTTTGCTTAGAACCCAGTGGAAATCTCTTGGAGCAGATTTCTTTTTTTTTTTTTTTTTTTTTTCATGAAAATATTGTTTTCATGAGCTTGTGGATGAAGGTTGGAGGGCTCCTCCATGCCCAGTGTGGTTAGCAAATGCGTTGTCAGCCTGTTTGCTCTGCGAGGAACCGTATTGCAAAGAAAAAGAAGGAAAAAAAACCCCAACAAACCACTAAGACAACAGGCCAAATCCCGGCCATTAGAAATAACAAAACAAAAGTCTCTGGGGACGTTCCAGTCCATGGGAACGCTGTTAGGAGCTTTATTTTGGCTTTCTATGGCTACCTCCTGCTTTGGCTCGTGTCGAGGAGGAATGAAAGGTACCGCACTGGATGTGGGCAAGAAGAGTCAATGGGCACGAGCCATTGACTGCAGATTTGGGGCTGTAGGCATGAAGCTCCCCAGGGAAGCAGTCCGTGTGGGGCAGGAGGTGTTGGCTGCGTTCAGATGGGTGCTGAGCCATCCTCCTCCTGCCACCACGCACCATCGGGGCGCTGACCTGTGCCCAGGGCTGCGTGGACCAGTTCTGGTGCCTACGTTGCAACTTCCATCCCTTACAGCATGACCTGCAAACGTGGGTCTGGGTGATGCCGTGGAGGCCGTTGCGATGTTGCCTCGTGCTGCAACACGCTTCTGCTGACACAGCCCGACGTCATGCGGGCACACAGGGATGAGTGCTCTGCCCTCAGCTGTGAGTGTGATGTCAGCCACGGCTCTGCCAATGCCATTGGGGCAGCAGAGCTGTGCTCGCTCCAGCAGCACCTTCCAGCACCTTCCAGCTTGCTCCGTGCTGACACACCGGTTTGAAAGCTGCCCGGTGGATTGTGATGCTGCAGCTGGGGTTTCTGGTTCACCCTCAGCACGTGGAACTGCTGCGAAGGGCTTAGCGTTGAGTTTTGCAAGAGGATGGAGCAAGGGCGGCTGGGTTTGGTCAGTGGGGAGCTGTTTGCTTGTGCTTCTTCAGGCTGGGCGACTCCTTGATTGGTGGTGGTCCCTAATGGAAAACACTCAGGGTGGATAGTAAGAAAAACTTATTGTCTAAAAGAGTGGTCAGCTACTGGCACAGAACCAGGGAGGTGGAGGAGTCCCTGTCCCTGGAGGTGTACAGGAACTGTGGAGATGTGGCACTGAGGGATGTTAGTGGGCATGATGATGGGTTGGTGTTGCACGTTGGAATCTCCGAGGTCTTTTCCAACCTCGAGGATTCTGTGATTCGTAGAATAGTTGGATTGGGAGAGATCTTAAAAGCCCATCCAGTTCCATAGGCATGGACAGCCTAGGGCCCATCCATGGCCTTGGGCACCACCAGGGGTGGGTACCCAAAGCTCTGGGCAGCAGTGCCAGATCATCAATGCTTCTGGGTAAAGAATGTCCTCTTCACATCCGATCTAAATCTCCCCTCGTTTAGCTTACAGCCATCCTCCCTTGTCCTGTCACTATCTGCTCATCACAGGCAATTATCTGCCGATAATTACTATGTTGAACAATTCCAGAAAGAGTTTATTTAACATAAACACTTAGAAAATGAATTACTATGGATAAAATGCAGCCTAAGGGCTGAGGACTGCTGGGTTGTATTTCCAGCCTTGCCATTGTTCTGTATGGCCATGACATGGAAGAGAGGTGGCTTCTGTAGCTTGACTTTAGGGGAAGGAGCCTTGCTCTCTTCCATCAAATTAGCCAAAATTACATCCACAAATGAGCACCGTAAAGCACAACTGTAATTCACGTATTGCTTCAGAATCAGCCTGGTGGCACCTCTTTCCTTTCCAACTCCAAACAGAGCCCTTTGAGTTTGCAAAACTGGGGTGATTTGCACAGGGACCTATTTGTGTATTTGAATCCAGGCTGAGCATAGAATCACAAAATATCCCAAGCTGGAACAGTCCTGGAAGGGTCATCGTGTCCAACTCTTCCTTTGCACAAGTCTACTAAGGAGCCCCTTGTGTCCATGTTGGTGCAGGAAACTGAGGGCTCAGATGCATCTTGCACAGCGTTGCACAGTGTGGAGGAGCAGCTGGTAACACGTGGGGCTCTGGTTTGCAGCTCTCCTTGAGGCAAGTTGCTCATGTTGGGGAGGCAGTCTGGTCTTGCTTGGCATCAAATGAACAGGAGAAGGAGAAAAAGGAGGTGAGCCCTAAGGGTAATGCTTGTCTTGGAAGCTGGCTGGACTTAAAGAAAGACCTCATGGCTGAATATATCCCATCTTCAAGCTCTTGAGGTCACCAGGAGTGCTGGTAGTGGGGAGCAGTATGGTTTAATCATGAGCAAAATCTCAGAATCACTGAGATTGGAAAAATACTTCTCGGACCCCCCCAAAATCCATCCCACTGTGCCCACATTTTGGGACACCTCCAGTGATGAGGACTCCACCACCTCCTAGGGCACTCTGTGCCAACGCATCACTGCTCTTTGGAGAAGAGGTTGTTCCTAATATCCAACCTGAGCTCTGGGCTCTGCTGCTGTGGCCCTTTGGAGCAGCAAAGCAAAACCGTGAATCCCATATCACAAAGACAAGCTGGGTCGGGGTGTAGGAGTGTGTAGTACTGATGGGCAGCAGGAGTGACAGCAGTACAAGTTGTCTGCATGTGTGACACTGCTTTGGCATCCTTGCACCCCAGACCCCTTTCTCCACAAGAACACCGGATCTCATCTCATCCCCCAGCTGCCGTGCAGCAATTCCTCTCTGTTTGGGACCAGGGAGAGGAGCAGGCTCAGAGCAGGGCAGCTCCCTTGCTGTGGCCTCTGGGGTGGGGCAGGTTCCAGCAGCGTGCCAGGAGATGCTGCTGTCCTTGGACATGTTGAGCTTCCCCTCTTCTCAGTACTGGGAGCGCTTGAATCGCCCTTCAGCAGTTGGGCACGGAAGGAGAAAGATCATTAACATACAAAGGGCTCCTCTTTCAACACCAGCGTTGCAAACTTTCGTGACGTTTCTGCCTCATCGCATTCTATGTTGTGCTTTGGTTCTTTATATTTTTTCTTTTTTTAAAAAAAAAAAAAAAAAAAGCCAGTTCTTGGAATTGGATGAGCACACCAAAATCTCAGCTTTTTGTTAAAGGTTCCTGATGACTACAAAGGAGAACAAAGGCTTCAAAAAGCACCACCAAACGTGGTGGCCCAGCGCAAGGGTTGCACCCTCTCTATTTATTTCTGACTCTTGCAGTATTCAGAGCAATTTTTAAGGGGGAAAGAGGAGATCAGAGGACAGCCTCAGCTCTGGATGCTGGGCACAGGCAGATGGAATAGTGCTGGGGCTGCTCTGCTTGTTGCAGAAGAGGGTGCCCACCTCAGCAGCACGGGGAGGAATGGAAGCACTCCATCCCAAGGCCCAGAGTTGGCTTTTGCTCCTGGGGGGGCACAGACTGGGGCAGTTTGGGGAACTGCTGCCCCTCCTGGCTTGCACAGAGCAGCTTGTGGGGCGTGCAATGATTCCTCTGCTTGCGTTCTGGTTTTGCAGGTGGGATCTTCTCATCGCAGCGGCAAATGATGGCAGTTTGAATCTCATGCTGGCACTGGGGCAATGAAGTTGAAGGTCCCGATGCGGGCCCATTGCATCTCTCTGGATATGACCCACTTGCAATGGGGTGCGCCGCGGGAATGGCCAAAGCTATTCAGGTTAAAGACCTCTGTTGGTTCTCTGGGCTATTCTGACTGCGGGCCTCGGGGGAAATAGGTCAGGTGCTTGGTGATCTGTGTCACTGTGTTGTCTCCAAGCATTCCTCAGCGCCGTCTGCGAGGAGATGCCATAGTGCTGACCCACGGGCTGCGACTGCAGCCTCCTCCTTTGGGTTCTTTGTGTTCTTCCTCACCAAACAGTGCTGGAGCTTTTCTACAGCACAGCAGCACCTCCCCTTTCTCTCTCCTTTACATACACTGCAGTTTTTGTGGGGGGAGGTTGAAGGGATGGTTGTCAGGCTCTTTGTTGCCCGTCTCTGATACGCTCCTTGCACCTCAAACTGCCTTTGGTTATCTACTGAAAAGGACAGTTTTCTACAAGATGCGTGATTTGTGTTTGAAAACACACGCTTAGCCAAACCCAACAATCCCAATGCTTCTTTTACCTGAACCCAAATATTTTAGCGCCGATACTTCTTGTCTCTTTTCTGTTCCCCCTTCCTTCTGTGGTTACCCACCGTCTTAGTGATAACGCTATAATAAGTTTAAAAACAAACAAACAAACAAACAATTTTAAAGTGGAGGGGTGAGAATTTTGTCTTTGTTTCTTTTCTGGGCAGAAATTGAGAGCAAGTACATTTACATTGTGCTCTTATGGCTCTGCTCTTTTAACCAGGGGCCCAGAACCAGGAGTTCCACATGGGCAGGAAGCGCAGGTGAGCCCTGTGGCTCTCCTTCCACGTGGACCTGCCTGCTGTGCTGCTCCCTGTCTCCACACAGGGTCTCCCTCTCCTTGGACAAGGCAGAGGCTGGGAGATGTGAGTTAAGGCCAGTTCAGACTTAGTGCTTTGGTGGATGGCAGTGGGATGGAACACAGCAGGAATCCGATGGATTGCTACTGCAGGGCTGCTCCTCACGGAGGTGCTTAATTCCATAGCAATGAATCTTGGAATCATAGAATCACCGAGGTTGGAAAAGGCCTCCAAGATCATCCAATCCAGCTGCCCGCCCATCCCCAACATTTCCTACTAAACCGTATCCCTCAGTCCACAGAAGATCTCAGATGTCTCAGCCATCTTCAGGCTGGATGAGGCTGCTAGCACCTGGTGGAGCTGTGGCTGTCCCTGTTCATTGCAGGGCGCTGGACCCAGATGGCCTCTAAGGGTCCCTTCCAACTCAAACCATTCTGTGATAAATCAGGAGACAAATGTTGGTGCTGGCAATGTGCTTCTGCAACCATGAGGTTCTCCATGGGAGAACCATTCGGGAGCCCACCAACCCAGCTCTCCAGGAGGAGCACCCACTTCTTCCAAAGTGCTTGGGATCCACGTAGGATCAGCTCTCCAGGAGATCTGGTCAAGGTGGGGATGTGAGTTGGAGCTGAGCTGACCCAGCTGTTAGGGAGACTGGGGAGGGCAGTGGCGTTGTGAAGTCGTTCCTGTAGGAATTTGCCATTCCCTCAGTGGGAGGCATGAAGGAAAGCAACTCTTCCAGGGGATCGGTGCCACTTTGGGAGCTGGAAACGTGCTTCTCATTTTTCTCCTTTGTTCCAAAGGGATCTGTTTCCCATTGACTCCTGACCCACAAGAACGGGGGGAAAACCAACAGAAATATCTGACCAACCTTGTCCAAGGTGTAAGTCCCACCAGCTTCAATGGGAGCATGGTACAACCTTAATGGAAAAAAAAAGAGGTTTTAAGCTAAAACAGGAGAAATACTATCTTGTTTTGGGGCTCTGATGCTGCTGGAAGTCATTGCTTCCCCAGTTATCACAGCACTGGATCAGACCCCTGCTGTTAGACAGTGGGATAAATTCCCCTCTGAGTAATGCTCCTAGATTTAAAAAATGAGTTAATGAAAAGCTTTTCTCGTTGGAAAAAAAAAATTGCAGAAAGGAAAACTGGCTCAGTGAAAGTGGCCTTCATTCAATACTTTGGAAACGTTTAATTTGGGGCTATCTGTTTCTGTTGTTGTTATTGTGTGAAACGGAATGAACAGCCAAATGAGAAACAGTCAAAAGAAGGGGGGGGGGGGGGAGAAAAAAGCCAACAGTTTTTATCCTGCATTTGGGCCACTCTTTTGTGGTTGATTCATTGCACCATTTTCAGTCTCCTCTGGAAGGAGCACAGGTGATGGAGGGGTTTTCTCCATCTTCTCTCCCTCTGACCTGCACCTTTCTTTGGTCCCACATCCCATCTCTTTGCAAGTAAGTCTGGCCCCATCCTCCCCTTTTGCATTTTATTCCATTTCATACTCCTGTTTTTTAATTATTACTCTGATGTGGGATAATATTTACCTCCATCAATGTGCTTTCTGAGACACGAATTGCAGTCTGAATGCTGCTTCCATCTCCATGCAGCCCCTCATGTTTTTCCCTTCCCAGCATTAATTTAGCATTGTCCTTACTGCTCTAAATTACATTCTTTTAATAGAAATAACCCTCAAATTTGTAACCTCTACTCCTCCTTGTGCCATGATTCCACATCTCCTCTCCAAATCCCCATCCTCCCCACCTCCTGAGCAGAATTTCCTTCCAGCAGTGTACAGAACTCTACTTATTCCTAAAACCCTTCTTTGGGATGGCCGGACAGGGTCATCCAAGATGCTCAGAGCCTTTTCCCTGCTCATTCCCTACCCTTCCCCATAAGGAAACATGAGCTCCATCCTTTTAGAGCGCACAATAGCGACGATCTGTGAAAGGAGACCTTCTCTTCCTTCCCAAAATGCCATCTTGGATGGCTGTATCCATTGCAGGCTCCTTCTCCCCATCCTTCTGCTGGGTGGTCGCGTGCCGCTGCCAGGCAGACCATGCACTGCTCAGTGCCCGGTTCTGCTGATGTGACTCAGTGCCTCAAAGGCTCGCGAGGCAGCCAGTGAGAATCTGATGAAAGAACCCAGCAGAGAGAGGTGCGAGGGGAGAGAGAAGAGGAGAAACCTTGCGGGATGCGATGGAAGTGAGTCATCTGACAGGTACTGCCACCGGGCCAGCCTGTAATTAAATCCAGCCTACCCTGGTGTCTCCACCGGAGCATATGCCAATCATTCCCCGTGGCATTTTCACACTTCTTATCTGTCAGCCCCAAAATTACTTTTTTAGATCAACTTTGAAGGCTTAATTCTGGCAGGGAGACGCAGGGGGCCAGACAGTCTGTGCTGCTGCTGCTGCGCGAGGAGGGGGGGAAGCTGCGCTGCTTTGTGGGGACCAGATTTTCAGGAGATGGGAGCTGGTTTTTCAAGATGGGGCCAGGTTTTCCAAAGAGCTTGGGTCCTGGCAACTCCCAGCGTGTTTTTCAACATGTAGCTGATGCATTGCGACTGCTGCTTCACAAACACTCTTCCTAAAAACGTTGGGACCCTACGAGTGCACAGGAAAGAAATGACGGCGAGCGCATCCTCATCCCTCACCAGTTGATGTTCAGTCCTCCAACCCAGTTAGATCTTGTTTCCTGGTAAACCAACTTCTGCAGGCAGCTTTGTCCATCAGCAGAGGGGTCACAACATGTGCCACTGTGAACAAATCCAATTAGTGAGGCTTGGAATTGATCAGGAAAGCAGTGGATGGATTGGGTTCCTCTCCAGGGTGCACACTTTGATAACAGCACTGGGAACCCTGGGGTGAGTTAGGGATTAAATTGAGATCATTGTGAGTCTGAAACTGGGACCAAGTGATCACCTCCTACTTCTCCAAAACCCTCCTGGTTGCTGTTAACTTTATGAAATGGGAGTTTTCTCTGATTTCTCAGAGGAGCAGCTTAGGGAAGCAAGCCCACGCTCCTATCCCACTCCCCAGGTGAGCTGCTCACGGGATCCCCTGCATATTCTGGAACAGAGCAGCATGAGGTGTCCTTTTCCAGCTCATCCCTCAGTTTCCCCAGCCACCACCTTGCTCCCAGGTGGGAGGGCACTGTGCATCCCACGGAGCTGCAGGCAGCACACGCACACCCTGTGCTCGCTGCCATGTGCCCCACGCCAACATGTGGGGCTCCGTGCTGGCACCCAGCGCTCACCCACACAGAGTGCCCTCTTCCAGATCCTTGCATGAGCCACCCGTGACTCCAATGCCCAGGAATGCTGCCGTTGGCCGGCTGGGGATTGCATCAAGCCCGTAAACTCGTTCCGCACAGGATGGGGCGGCTTGGTGACACCTGCTTGTGTGCAATGTGGCACTTCTGGGGACGCCCGCTCACCGTGGGCTCAGGAAGAGGGAGGGGAGGGCTGGTGCATCATCCTGGTGCCAGGTGGCACGGGGTGCCCACGGCCTCAGCGTGGCTTTCAGGACCTCTTCCACTCCTCTACCAGCTTCCCAAGTCTCAATTTTGCACTTCACCAAATCTGTCATTTTTTTTTCCAGTTCTCCATCCAGGAAGAATCCAGCTGGAAAGAAGGCAGTTCTGCTGTGCTGATGGCAAACTGCATCCTTACAACTCCGAGCACTTACTTTTTGCCTTAAAAACCAATGGGAGCTTTCCACATTCTCCTCATCGTCACCAGGGCCGTGTTCCCACCTGGTTCGTGCCGCTGGCCTTTTCTCCCTAGAGGCAAGTGAACGGATAGGGCTGTGCCTCCCTCCCTGCTGCTGTGGGATAGCAGGGCTCACCTCTCCCAGCACGGCGCCTGCATTTGGCTGGGTGCATTACTGGAGCCATCTCTGCACGGACTGTAGACAGAGCCCCAGGTGCTCTGCTCTCAGATGCAGACGTCCTCGCTCTGAACATCTGAAGCTGGGCGAAACAAACACCACCCTTGATGTTTCTCACATACATTAAAGGCTAAGTGGCTGATAAGGAACCTGCTGGTTTCTAGCCTAAATTTATTAATGTCCAATGTATACAAACCCATCCTTGTCGTCGCATTGTCTGTCCTTTAAGTCCACGTTGCTTTTCCACCTCATGAGCATTTAGGCAGAGCCCCTCCTTAGGCAGAACAAGACCATTCCCATTCACCTGTGAGAGCCAAGGTCTCGCAGCCTCCCCCAGGGCTCTCCAGTTACCCTCGTGGTGCTGCTTCTTGATGGAAATAATGCACTGTATTCCGGGTGAGATACCTCAAAGGTATCAAGGTAAACAAGGAATACCCAGTTTCTGCTGGAAACATTGAGGAGAATTGATCCCAGGATTGTATAACCCACGCCCATGCGTTCTGCCACATCCCATCGGCAACTCATGGTCATCCCAGGGCTCTGTAACGCACTCAGGTGTTTCTCTCTGCTGGAGGCAATTGCTATCTGACCCAATCTGAAATGTTCAGTCTTTCTGATCCAAGCCGTGTGCCTGGGCAACTTCTCTCTTCAGGTGGAAAGTCTTATCTCAAGAGTTACCCAACAAGGCAAGGGAAATTGGTAGGATTCATCCAGCTCCGGGCCTTTAAGAACCTCTGATGCATTTACAATGAGAAGCTGGCAAGAAATATCTTTTCAAAACCATACGAAATTTGGGGAAAAATCATTCCAGAGCAGAAAGTGGGACAGCATAGAAGGAGGCAGGCAGTGAATTTGGACAAACTATGAACCGAAATATTTGGACAGCCCTTGAGTTTCTGGGTTTCTGCATGGAGTTGGGAGCGAGACCTCTTCAGTTCATCCAGCTTTGGATGGCGAGAAACATCAACATCATTTTTTTGTTGTTTTCTTCCCTTTCTGAAAGAGCTGGAAATTTCAAAATCCTGAAACTCTTCCCAAAATGAAACAGCTGCTGGTTGCTCAACGCTCTCCGTTCCTACCTCCGCCCTCCCGATGAGTTACACAGAGGGTGTGACATTGGGATCACGCTGATCCCCAGGTGCTGGAAGGAGCCACTTCCAGCAGCTTCTCCCTAAGTAGGGCTCAGTCCCTGTCAGCTGGTGAACCCATCCCAGCCGTGGGGAACAGCCCATTCCCTTGGCTCACCTCTGTCCCAGCACCACTCGGGGCAGCATCGCAGGATGCCACAGCTTCTCCTCATCCCACGTTGTTTGTCTCCACGGGGAAATCCACCGCTTCTCGTTTAAATGAGAGCCAGATCGAGCCGTCAGCATCTCACACTTCAAGCACCAGGGCTTTCTCTGTATTCATGCAAAAGGTTGGGGTTATTACTGGAGAGGTGAAAATTAGATAATAGCGATGTCTCAGGGGTGCCAGTCGTCCTGGACTGGAGCAATTCTTTGTTTTGAGCGCATCATAATTCCTCAGTGACTGCTGGCTGGAGCCTGGTGTCTTACTTGCATTTATGGGCTGCGAGTGGATGATTATAGAAAATGCAGTAATTAAATAAGTACTTTGGCTGAATAGGTTTGGCCTGGGAAAGAGTAAAATTAGACAAGGCAGCATGAGCTGTTCCAAATCGTGAACTCTGATTAATTTCACTTTCTTTTCTTGTGATGTGTCCAGCAATGTGCAGGAGGAGGAGCTGTCAGCATGGAACTGTTCGGCCGGTGAATTAGAGCCAATAATCTGAAATGCCCCCATGTTTTTGCAGTGTGTGGCAGTCCCATCCTTCAAGGGGCAGTACAAGTTGCCTGTGAGATTCAGGTCAGTAGGAAAGCCACAAGGAGAGCTCAGTTCTCCAGGCTCCATCCGCTGGCTGATGCTCCTCTTCTGTTGCCTGCTTTCTTGGCTAGGCTTCTGCATGGGCTGGAGAGGGAAGGTGTTTTTGGGGCTGCCTGCTCACAATATTTTCATGATGGCATCTCTGGTGGAAGCTCACAGCTCTTCCCCCTGCGCTTTGCATGCAGAGCTCCTCTCCAGCACAAACAGAGCTGAGGCAGGGGTTGAACTGGCTCCAGCCAGGCAGCAACCTACAATTAACCAAGCATCTCCGGGATGCCATCAGCACAGGATTCCCTTTGATGAAGCGTCGTATCCAGGTAACCTGTTCCTAATCAAACAAGACACCTGGGTGCACAGGAAAGGGCACTGCCGGCCATTCCAGGAGCGCTGTGGGCAGAGCAAACAGGAAGCAGAGGGCCGGAGCATGGCAGGCACTCCACCTTGGCCCAGGGGTGTTGGGCATGTGACGAGTCACATAGAGCTGGTCCCTCTCCTGCTCTGGGAGTGACGCATTGTTTTGAACAAGAAATTCCAGGAGCGTTGATAGTCCTTTTGCTTTAAGGATGGCTGCATAGCTTGAGGTTTTTGGGGTTAAATCCACAAAGGTGCTGACCTTCCTTGCTCTCCAGAGCCCTGTAGGATCTGGGGACAGGGCTCAATTCGAAGAGCTTGTGGAGGTGTCAAGGGAAGGATGGTCACCTCTTGAGGGTGAGTTTGGAGTGCTGGATGTGCCAAGGGGAGGATGGCCACCTCTTGAGCAAACGAAGAGCACAGACATTGCAAGCCATAACTCACTGTGCTACTCTGAAGCAGGCTCCTTGGTGGAGGTCACCTCTCCCTCTTCCCGCATCCTGCAGAGGGAGCTGGTGGTGCTTGGAATTGTTTGCCATGAAGTCTGGTCCTGATGCTTGCGTAAGAGTGAGATGCCAAAACGCCTGCATGGTTTGGGCTGTTGGAGCCACCCATGGGGCCTTTGGCCTCTCTGAGCCACATGGCTCTTGCAGCATCTCCTGGTGCTGAAGGTGGAGGTTGGACAAGGTAACTCAAAACGGTGTTAAAGAGAGCGTTTCCAGCATCTGTTCAGATCCTCCTCTCTGGGGTTCCCTTCTCTTTGGGTTTCCTTCCTCTTCTCCCTCCCCAAATCAAAAGGTGAACTCTTGACTGAACCTTTCGGAGAGCTGGGTCTAAGGAGAACAGATATTCCGGATCCTGTGAGTGGAAAGATGAGTGATATCTGAATCCCATCACTGCAGGACTGTGGCTAGATTCCCTTCAGACGTGTAGCCGCTGAAACCACTCAGGTTGAGGCACGATGTTGCAATCCTAGGAGCACTTCCAGCAGATCTCCTCTTGGGCCAACAAGCAGGGAGCAGAGCTGGGGCTGCCAGGGCTGAGCTGAGCAGCCATGGCTGCTTCTGGGGACTGATGGGCTCTGCAAGGCCAACAACCTCCAAGGTCTTCCATGGTCTCCTTGGCGAATGCTGCTCCGGGCTGCTTTCCCTCGTCGATGCTTTGCTGTTCTCAGCGACTTGTGAGGGAAGGGCAAACATCAAAAGCTGGATGGGAGCATCCAAAAGTTCATCTGAAGCACGCAGACCTTTAGCATTTGTAACGGGAAGTTGGAGAGATTTCAAGCACTCTCATCCCACCTCCTGGCGCTTCTGTTTCTGGTTAGGGCCAGACGTAACCACAAGAACAAGCTTTCTCACGGTGTTTCAGCACATTTCCTATTGGTCCTGGAAGAAAACTGGAAGAACGTTTGAAATTAAGAGGACATCCAGCCTTTGTAGAACCACAGGCTGTTTTGGAAACAGGCACGGGCTCTGAGTGTTGATGGGTTGAGCAAATTCACTCTCTTGAACCGGTTTGCGCCATCCCAGCTCATAAGCATCCCCCCAAATGAGGAGAGCTGACTTTTTGCCTTGTGGAGAAATGAGTTCTGAAGTGGGACCCCGGGTTACTCCAGGTGTCTGGGAAGGGTTGGTTCATCCCTTGGCCTCTGCAGCCCGTGGAGAATCCTTCCAATGGGAAGAGAACAAGAACTCACTGTGCCTTGCTGCCACCGTGGGAGATGAACCTCTGTCCATGCAGATCTTCAGCCACGTATTTCTTATTGCACTGAGTGCAAGCTGTGCCACAGGACTCAGCTGGGGGTCACGAAGAGGCTGTAGCCATTTTCCATGTATTCTGTTTGGGATTTGAGTCCTCACTGACTAACAGTTTTCTATCTGTTTTGAAGATTCAAAAGCATCACACTGGGAAGAGGCAGCTAGCTGCAGAGTGCTGGGGCACACCAGGAGAAGGCTGAAAACCACAGAGCTGCACCTGCAGTTGGCATTGGCTCCCTGTGAAGTGCGGGTAAAGCTTACTTTCCCTGTTTTATCTTCGCTAAGTCTTAATCACGAGTTGCTGCAACTCCTTGCACTGAGTTAACTCAGAGGAAATCCCCAGATCAGGTCATCCTCTGCACTCAGACCCTGATCCTCTAACCAGAGGTCCCTTCCAACCTTAATTATCCCATGATCCTGCGTTTGAACATGGCTAAATCCAGAAATGAGTGCATTAGGTCCAGCAACTGTTATCTACCAAGACAGGGGAGCAGGTAAGGGAAATTGACCAAGGCCACTCAGCAGCCTTGCTTGGAGCACATCCCAAATCCCCAGGCAACCTTGCCACCCTTTGGCCACGCTACCTCCCCTGGGCAAGGGGAAGTTTCCTGGGACAACACTTTCTACTCATTGGCCCTTTCTTTTTTTTCTTTTTCTTTTTAATTAAATTTTGGTAGCATCTTTTCTTATTACTCTTCCCCTGTACCTTAGGCATTGCTCTGAGTCCACTGGGGCTCGTTGCACGCCCGCTTCTCCCCTCCTCTCCTCGGCCACCCTACAGCTACGCTGCCGTCAACGT